GTGTGTGTGTGTGTGTGTGTGTGTGTGTGTGTGTGTGTGTGTGTGTGTGTGTGTGTGAGAGAGAGAGAGAGAGAGAGAGAGAGAGAGAGAGAGCACAGACTGAGGCACAGACTGAGGCTCAAACTTCAATGTGGGCACATCAGGAACACGTATTTGTGGGATTCCCAAGGGGTCTTTTTATATTTGTTTTCAGTAGATCTGGCACCTGATGGCATATACATTCCCTGAAGTCAAGGTAACTCCACACCACAGCTAATCACGCACGCAGGCAGGGTGAGATGGCATACATCCTGCCTGCGGAGGATCTGGCACCTGATGGCATCGAAGTCGGAGTTTGGTTAGTTTTGTCTATAGGAGCTTCACTGATCACTCCCAAGGTGGTGGTCGCAGACTCATAGCGTAACAAATGAATGGGACAAAAAAGGATGGTGATTTGGCTACGCGTGGATGGTGAAAGCAACTTGCCCATCATGTAACACACAGTGTCAGCAAAACTTCCCTTTTATTTTGAAAAAGTTCATCAACTTGGCAGCTGGGGTAAGCCAGGTAGTCTTCCCTGCATGACCACAGCATCGAATGCGCATGGCACAGGTCTCTCCTGCATAATGTCGACCCAACAGTTGCGACGACACAACTTGGTATTGAAGAAGGCCCCCCCATTGAAAGGACATGTTATTCCCCTTCTGCTCAGGATATGGGCAGAAGCAGACCAGAAGAAAAAGTTATTGCAGTGCCTCAGGAATGAGAGAAGTAGTAGATGCAGTTGACGCAGGGGGGTGATGTCTGTGGTGTTGTTTTGTCAGTGGGGTGTCTAATGCAGGTTGGAATTGCTTGTGTGATTTGATTGGTTGTCCTTATGTCCTATGTTCAGCCGCGGAGGACCACGCAATTCCTTGTTATCGGTTGTTGTCCTCCGTAGGCGGAGGACAGCGAAACAAACAAACATCATGTAAAATTTTGTAGGCATGCAAGCAATTCTTCACCCCCCAATATGGGCAGTGTACTCGAGAAAGAGCTACGGGGTTTTTCAGTTTTGCAACTGCGCAGCACCACCTTCATCTCTGCCTTGGTCTTCGCCATGTACTTCGTGGCATAAACTCTCCCCATGTTCACTTTAACTCCTCTTCACCAAGATCGCCGATCGGGTGCGCACCGCACTTTCTTGTGGCAAGACCTTGAGGTAAGAAAGTCACTTGGTTTTATACAAAGCCATGAAGCTCTTGGGGGTGCAACTCGGCTTTGGTGTCTGTTTCACAGTGTGTCCCAGCAAACACCAGCGCACACGGAAGCCGGTCTTTTCTTAGGCAGAACACCGGTGAGCGCACACTGGCGTTCTCCCTGTCCTTGTTTAGAAGAGTGGTCTTCAACACAGAATGCGGGCTCAACAACGCCAGTTTTGGTTTCCCACCCATCCGGTGCGTGAGGCGGTGTTGAGTGTAAGCGTGCGCTACCTGAAGCGGTACTTAGATAGTTGAGCAGGTTGTTCCTTGCAGTGGAGAGCCAATCATGTGCATGAGGCAGTGTCGAGTGTTAGTGTCCGCTGCGAGAAGGTGGCATAGGTAATGGAGAAGCCGGGAGCTTGCACGCAAGAGCCGACATTGGGTGCTGTTGAAGAGTCGTATCGAAGATGGGGCTGGGAAGAGTGGAGCTGAAGAGTCGATACGGAAAGCGATGTGTCATCGTCGGTGTGAGCAGTGCTTGTTTTCTGGAAGGAGAGGAAGAGGCATGGAGGAAGGTGATCTGTGATGTGGGGTGGAGCAGCATGAAGGCAGAGCGTGGAAGAAGGGTTGCCCCGAGGATGGGAGTAAGGGGAGTGGGCGCATGCCTGTTTTCACAAGGAGAGCTGACGAGAATGTATTCGTATCGCATCAAAAAATGAAGGAATCGGTGATCGGAAGATGTAGTGTTGATCTGCGTAACGCTTGTGATCGGGAGGTGGGAGGTGGGAGGTAGGTGGTCTCTCTCCCTCACTCTCTCTCTCTCTCTCTCTCTCCCTCATCTCTAAGGCAAGTGTCAGGAGAAGGTGGGTGGTCTTGGCACCTCCTTCTTGGCAAAGGAGAGTTGGACGTGAGGAGAAGTGAGAGAAATATGTGATGGTGGTGTTGCAGCAGTTAAAGAGCATGGCTGGGCGGGAGGTACGGAGTGTGAACCAAGCAATTAGGAGACATTGTACCTTGTTAGGAAGGAAGGTCGACACTTACAAACATGCGTAACTGTGGTTTCATCAGAAATGGTCCGTCCCGCCGAGCGGTGGGTTGTAATGAGTATGACCATCCCATAACTTTTGAGAGAGGTCGAGTGTATCCTCTGCCCGCAAATGAGAAGAGTGCGTAACCATGGTTTGACAAATGGTCTGTCTGGCCAACTACCGTAGTAGGTTTTGTCAGCAGCCTCCATAACACAACCCTACAGAGAAGAGCGGAGCGAAGGTGTGGGGCATGTAGTAGCTCCTCGATGGGGAAGTAGTGTTTTTGTGCCATGGCCTTCACCAGACCAGAATAAAGACCCTGGGCAAGTACTTAGTCAATTTTGAAAGTTTTTTAGAACACATAATATGTGTGAGAGGGGAGAAAGTGTGTGGAAGGGATCGTCAGCTGCAGAAATTAAACTACTGACATGCGAGTTTGGATACGTAGTCGCCAGTGAGGTGTTGCAAAAGTCGTCGGACACATACCCCGTGTTTTTTTTTTTTTTTTTTTGGCGTGGCCTGTTGGTGGGGCCTCGTAAACTCTGAACGTGGCTACTCAAGTAGTCCACGGACCTCAATCCGCAAATCATTACCTGTTTTGCCCTCCTGACTAAGTACCCTCTGCTTTCACTTCCTGCTGTAGCTTGGGGAGACATGGCAGCAAGCAGATTAACAGTGTGCTGATAGGCGGCGTGATACAAACTTTTGGAGCAGGTTTCTAGACTTTATGATTTACAAAATATCAACCCCTCGTCATGAAATCGATGGGTTACTTCTGCATTTTGTATGTGCAGACAAGGGCACAGCCCCCCCCCCCCCCCCCCCYCCYCCCCCCCYCSCCSCCCMCCCCYYAASCAAYCACMGTCGTTCATCTACGCACGGGAACCCTGTTCTGTGAACTCAAWCCATTACTTCTGCATTTTTTCACTGTCTGACAGTGGCACAGCCCCCCTCTTAGGCAAGGCAACCAATTACACCACCCCCTTTCCACAACAATTGTTGAGTTTTGCCAACTACAACCCCTTTCCACACTTCACAACCTATTTCCATGGATTCAACGCATAATGTCTGCTTTTTTGCTGTGCTGACAGCATCACAACTGCAGCGATGTCCAGGTCCATGCGACCGGTTCTGTGTTCACACTGGGCAAGCATGAACTGAAACCAGTTGCATGGATGGCAAGAGAAGTGATGACCGCAGTGCGGACGATGTACTTGTTAGCTGCTGTAGTGCCAATGGGATCTCCGCTGAGTTTTAGTTGGCAGAGAAGTGATGACCGCAGGGCTGACGACTGGCGATAATACATGCTTGGGTGTGAAGTGGCAGTCTCAGTGGTAATCCCAATGAAGTGATGATGACCACATTTCTACTTAACATGTGATGAACCGGAACGAACTCAGAAGTTCACATGGCCTCTGAGTTTGCATTGGGCTTTTCAGTTTGGAGATGAACCCATTGCCAGTGTGCTGATGAGGAAGACTTGAAAAGAGAGAAAAAAAATAAAGAAAAAGAAAAAGGAAACAGAAAGGTTTTGTTGTGATGGTCAGGTGCATAATATTCCTTCAGCGGGAAGAAAATGAAGGCAAAGGAAAGGAATGTCCTTTGTGGAATTTGAGCAAAAGCTATCTGACAAATTGGCAATCGTCCCATTCCCAAGCTTGGCTGATACTTGTTGCCTCAAACAGTGAAAACATACCTATTCTCCAAAGCTTTTCGAATGCTCTTTTATGTTCTTTTTTTTTTGGGGGGGGGGGGAAGCCGGCCTGGGTCTGGTAGAGGGGACGATATGAGCAGCCCCCTCCAGCAGGGACGCCGCTGGGCGCTCTGGTCTATTGGTGGGGAACTTAACCTACTGGAAACTGGTCTGGTCCCGAACTTAACCTACTGGAAACTGGTCTGGTCCCGGTGTGCCTTACACATCCATCTGCATAGAACCACCTTGTCCCAGTGTGCCTGGCTTCGGCTTGGGGACGTCTCAACAGAAATGTCCCAAGCTGTGTCCCAATCTTGGCTAATGACCCCTCCGTAGTGAGTCTTTAACCGGCCACCACCGGCCCCCTTCCCCCCCGGCGCCCCCCAAAAAAGAGAAAAAAACACAACAGGTCCACCAAGGATAGGCTATGCGGCGGAAACAAATCTTGGAACTCTGATGGGGGCCACAGTGGGATCGATGCATCTACACTTGTCCAGTTCTTGAGAGTACCATGCTCTTATCTCTTTGCGTGAAGTTGGTCTCCGGAGTCCCGTTCGACGGAGGCAATCCGCCCTTCCTCCCCTGATGTCCCTCCGTCCGGCCATTCTTGTGAAAAATGTTTCGTTGTTTGTTGGACGTCCTTAGCTGTCTGGTAAATATCCGACTGCGCTTTGACTTTTTCCCGTTGTTCTGACAAGTAGAGTTGACTATGTTGTTTCAGGAATTTAGTCAACTCCCCACCCTCGCCATCTGTGCTCCTTCATCATTATACACATCTTTTCCCACTGGACAGCTCTTCTTCCCAGATTCAACATATTCTCCTCACATGCACTGTCCTGCGGGGATTTCCATGCCCTGCAGAATCGTCCTGTCCAGTCCCATGGCCCCATGGCCAGGTGGAGACGGTCCCTAGCAGACGCCCAACGCCCAATCCTCTCCCAGCGGCGCCATGCGAGGATTGCCCCCGCGCGCTGCAGTAATATGTGTTCGACTGTTTCCGGTATCTTGCGTGATGGGAAGCAGATGGAGCAGGATTCGCACCACGGGAGAGCGATCGGTGCCTCTTTGTGCCAGCTTGGTGCGGCCAATCAGCCAGTCAGTAGGTGATAGGCGACGGGTGCTTAATTTGCCAAGGCAATCTTGGCCGGTTTTGTCTTCGTCGCCGCAAACCAATGTCAATCCTCCCGGTCAAACGGCAAATCCTCCACCGGCGTCTTGGGGCGGAAAGCTGCCGAGGGGTGCTTGTCCAGGAATACCCTGTGCCTATAGATCTGTGAGTTAAATTTTAGTATCATACCACCCCACCCTATCCGGAGATCGCCTGCTCAGCCTGTTCTCCTTTCTCGTGTGGAATGCCACCCCCCTTACTTCTATGACCTTCCTCACTCTCTCCGCATCCCCACGAAACTCCCTTTCGCCCCTGGCCAGTGAAATAATTCACCCATCATCTAACCACCAGATAGCTAATGACAATGGTGTAAGATGATTCAACCATCGACGCAACTCAACGGACTCCCGTGGAGTTGCGTCCTCTGCACGGAATCTGCAGCCAGTGTAACGGGATAGAGTCGATGATTGTTCCAATGCTTGTTTCCATGTTGTGGCAATGGTTCAGCTGCTGGCACATTTGTTGTTCGGTTTTCCAGTTTCTGCTTTCTGGGTCCCAAATGTCCTTTATCCTGAGTACCCCTCTCTTTGTCCAACAGTGCCATGGGAGAGCCGAGCTTTGGAAAACCCGAGCCCGCTGATCTGCGATCGCCAGGTTGCCGAAAAGGGGCTCCCTCATTACGTCCTCCCACCTCCCTGGCGCCACCTTGTCCGCGGGCGGGGGGGCGCATCACATCCACTTCCTTAGTGCTAGACATGGGAAGTCATCCCTTGCAATATTCTCCTTTGCAGCCTCTCGGTTCCCCTCCCCTGACGACAGGGCTCACCACGGGATAGTCCAATATCGATCCTCCAGCAAGATTAGCGGGTCAGTCTCTGGTGGGGTCGGGGGAGCCACTCTTGCTATTTGGTCCAATGCAAGGGCCCACCAGGGGGTATGGGGTGTGAACAGCAGTCCCTTCATCAAAAAGTGTGAACCCTAACTATTTTCCGAAGCTATTTTCCAAATACTCGTTTCGTTAAAAAGTGAAACCATAACTCTGTACCCATTTTCCAGCAGGTGTAGCTCCTCACCAATAGGATTGGTCCGACCAGGCAACATGCTAGAAGGGGGTGCGGGAAAGGGGCGGGGGAGAGGGGAAACTCACTGTTTTCCAAAGCTTTTCTAAAACTTGCTTTGTCAAACATTGCCATCCACCCTTCATCCTGCATCGACAAACTTGTTGAGATTATATTGTTGAAGGAGATGAGACCAAAAAGTCAGCGACTTGTGGACGGAATTTTCTTGCATCTGATTAAAGCAAGCAAGCAAACAAACAAACAAATGTGGGCCCCTCCCCCGGGAGTGCCCTCCTCCGGTAGGCCAATTTTGATGACGCCTTCAACTGGGCCCCTCCCCCGGGGGTTAGTGACTCCTGGTTATATATACAGTGCAATCTGTGCTTTTTAAACCACCAGCCAGTTTGCGAAGACACGGTTATGGGCACGCTGGGTCTGCCAGCAGTGCCAGGATGTGCCCAGCCGGCCGGCCGCATAATAGACATCCAGGCTTGTGGTGTGCCAGGTCGGGACCGAGTTGTCGCAAAATGGCTGTGAAACGTACCGGTGGTTAAAACGACCATTACCTGCGGGCGTTGTCTCTCCAAATGTGCATGCCGAAATTTCCAGATTGTCACAGCGAGGGGTGGCCCCACTCCCTCCAGGGCATTTCACCCCCCACCTTGTGAAGCCCCTGCAGAGTAGAGCTCTCCTCCTTAAAACCCCAACCCCCCACCCGTGCAAAAATAATTCATTAGTGCACCCAAAGGGGAATCAAAAATTAATAGTGGAGAAATCCGAGAAAAGAAAAAACAAGGAATTTAGGGAATAGGATTTCTAAGATATGAGTGGAAGAATCAGAAATTTTTGAAAATTATGATGGAGAAAAGGTAAATAATTTATTTTTTTTGATTTTGCTGATGACGATGAACAGCACCCTGAAGATGATGATGATGAGGATGATGGTGACGCCCAACTCACCTGCTGATGTGAAAGGCAAACAATGCCTTGAAGAGCAACATCTAATGATGACAAACTGATGATGATGATGATGGTAGTGATGAGAATGAAAACAAAATGATGATGCTGATCATACTAAAGAGCAGCACCAACAGCCCCTATGATTACAAACTGATGATAACTATCATTTCGTCAAAATGGACATCTTTTATTTTTTGAACGAAATTGAAACCGAGTTTTTTGGCCCAAAACTCGTCAAAATATGTTGTTCCTGAGGGTCCGGCGTTTGTAAAACGCTGGACCCCCTGGCTGTCCATGGACCTAGCTTGAGACCAGGTACCTCCAGGCAGTCCTGCCTGGAGGTGCCTGGTTTCAAGCTAGGTCCATGTACAGCCAGAGGGTCCCCTCAGGAACAACAAATTTTGACGAGTTTTCGGCCAAAAAACTCGGTTTCAATTTCGTTCAAAAAATAAAAAATGTTCGTTTTGATGAAATGATCGTTTGATGATGATGATGATGATGATGACACACAGCGCCCTGTGATGACAACAGGATGATGATGGTGCTAATGACGCGCACCTTTGATGATAACCTAATAGGGATGAGCAATGCCCTATGATGGCGAACTTCGCCAACCACGCCCTTGATGATGGTAATACAACGATGAGTGACGAGCAGCACCCCTGATAAACGGCTCCTTGATAATGATGATGATACTAGTGTCGAACAGAAGCGAAGATCTACGCCTTGATGATGATGACGAGAAGTACCCTGATGATGATGATGGTGACGACGAGCAACACCCTGATGATGATGACGAACCTAACCGTGATGATGATGTCGAACCACGCCCTGTTGATGATGATGATGATGACGAGCAGCACCCTGATGACGATGACGATTACTGTGATGATGGTACTGGTGGTGATCAACGCCGCGTTGCTGATGACGAGCAGCGCCCTGATTGTGCTGACACATCTACTTCCTCATGATTGTAGTTGCCACTGCACTTGCACTTCAGTTTACCGAGGGCTGACTCCACTGTACTCCACAGGCGTCGACATAGCCAACGCCTCTCAGGCCATATGCCACGTGCAAAAACGCAGCGGCAATGGAGTGAAACGTGGAACTCCCAGAAGAAGAAAAACGGGAGTTAGTCCATCCGCCATATCAGCTTGTGACGTGGCGTGGGCACACACCTTCGGTCACCTGCGCGTGTGCAAAGCGCCTGGTTTACAGAAGAGATGGCCACCATCGCTGCCGCGTGCCGTCACCATGGCCCACCTGTGCGATGTCGCAACCCGGGGCGGAGCGCAGCGCTCCCGGTAGCGCCGCACCCCGCCCTCCCCTCCAGCGCCCCTGGAGTTTCATGACCCTAATGTCAATACCTCCCTGATCCCTGTCCGTGGCAAATTCCGCCCCATAGCCTCTCCATGGTGGATTTAGAGTGGTATGGGGCGGCATAAATGTCAGAAGCAGGTCTTCCTGCTGAGGGAAGCAGAAGGTCAAGCAATCAGACAGCCGGGCAAGGGCGAGAACAGGGATTAAGTCTAGTGAGGTTTCGAGTTCCGCCAGCTGGCAGACGAGGGGTTCTGTTTGGACAAGGTGGGGTTAGGGTGGGGATTACAGATCAGGAGCAGGGGAGGGGGTCACAGTGAAGTTTATTCTTTGAAGGTACATTGGGATGCTGGACCCGCTTCCCAGTGAAAAACGCAGGGTACAGACAAAGAAGGAAAAGGTTACACTTAGCAGCTGCACAGTTAACCCCCCAATCCCACTGGGGCAGTCAATGCTGGCAGCCAAGATTTCACACGCATTCTCCAATTCTTCAATTGTTCAATTGGGACGCTGGACCTGTTTTTTTCCCTCCCTCCCCACCAATAGACTGGAGCAACCAGATCGTGCATTAGGGGAGGCTGCTCGTATCACCCCCCCTAGTCACGCTGGTCGGGCTTTCCCCTCCCCAACCAACCCCCCCCGAAAAAAAAAAAAAAAAAAAAAAGGATACTGTGTTCAGATAAGTAGGTAGGTACACTTCATGTCATATTATAAGCTCTCGACCAAAAACACACTTCAAACAAATGGGCAATGCTGTCGTGTATCTTCACCGTAATAGAGTGCCCAGTCGTAAGATCTGTATTTCTTCGAAAACTTTGTCTAGGTACAGCCATAATGACCAGGTTTTCAACGACTTTCCCCAAACACAACGCAACCCCATTTTAACTGTATTGGGCCGGTAATAATAAAATTCAAAATTGTAGAAAAGCCTATCAGCAACATACCTTGTATACATGTTACATTCATTTTCAGGGTGCGTCACGATTATGTTTGGGGAAAGACGGTAGTAGTCAGGTGAAGATGACATCACTTAATAGTTGACAGGATGAAGGTTCACTGTCATATAAAGGGAGCCACTTGAACTGGGAATGCTTAAACCACCAGTACCTGGCCCAGCAATCGAGTCCGAGCCTCGGCCGACCGGTACGCCGAACCGTGCCGAGGCTCGGACTACCGGGCGCAGGCATCCCGAACGTCGGAGTGAAAGAACGAAAAAAACGGGGAAAAAAAAAACGAAAAAAAAAACGAAAAAAAAAACGAAAAAAAAAAC